CGTTGTTACGAAATTTCCTTCCAGGCTTCGAAATTCATGACATTAGAATCACTGACGAGTCCTAGAAGGACTATTGCAGTTTAGTTAATTGTTTGGCTCTGCAGTATCAAACCTTTATTGAAAGGTTTTATTCACTGGTCTTGAGTTTGCAACGCCTTACCTGCATGGACACTTTGTAATACATGTGGCATTTTGGAAACATGATCTTTACATGTTATCATGACATAATGATAGCTGTCCTTACTTTTGCCAAAATATATTTGATTTTTAGGGGTTTACCGTCCTAGAAAAAAAAGTAAAATGATATGATGCCGGTGTTAAGTGGATTCACACCAGGACACAGGAGCACTAAACTAAGTTTAACATAACCACTGCTTTCACTTACACTTCATTGCACAAAGTTCCTTTTTCTGACCATGATGTGTCTCTGTTCGGTGACAGAAACCAGAGCTGCAAGTCTAGTGTGAACGCTTACCAGCAGGCCCGACAATTTAGTACTATCAAATGAGAGTTTACAACCAACAGCCATTCTACTTCCATTCTGCTTTATATACTACTATTTTTATTAGCATTTCTCCTCTATTGCCCATAAAACCATATTTATTGATATAACTTTCAGAACTGTTATTTGAGTAGTCCTCTACAACAAATTTAACACAAGCAACAATTGTTCCCTTCATCTTTTCGTCGCTGAAATTTAAGAACACGGGTAAAAGTAGAAACATTGTACTTTATAAATTACCTTACCTACAACATTTGAACAGCTGTTGTGGACATAATTTGATGCTATTCGGATATTTAACCCACCAGGAAGAAAAGGCTCCCTGTGTTATCGTCAGGAGCAGGTACAATGCGAGACTTGTTCTTGGAAAAATTGGCAAAGATAAACATGACGAAAGCAAATGTACGTAAAAAGGAAATGTATGATAAATCATAATGTAATATTTGAAAAAAATATCAAAGCCGAAATAAAGAGGGGTTGGTCTAAATTTGCCAAAATCCGTGTGAGATCCTTAATAAAAATTTTGGCATTAAACTCCTATTCCTTAGTATAGCAACATATACATAAGACATATGTATACAATGCTTGGCTAACAAATTTGTTACATTTGGTGTTATACTGAGATCTTGATTTTAGGTACCTGTTATTGATTTATTTTGAAAAAAAAAGGTTGGTGATAAATTTTATATCATTTGATGTCTTTTCCTAGTAAGGAGTTCCTTTAAAGATCATTCATCTGTTCCTCTTAATTAACCATATGACAAATATGTTGGTTCGCAATTTTTGTATGTTCATAAATATGGCGGTAGAATGGCCAGTTATATATCTTATGTATACCACTCAATGCATAATTTCCAATATGAATCAACAAATATCGTTTTAATAAGATTGTCTGGTGACAAATCTCATTAACAGGATCTACATGACTTATTTAGTACAAATAATCGCGAGGGATTTGAATTTGCACGGGGATTCGAAAACCAGACATTTAGATGAAAGACGTGTGGTCTATTACTGCACAATCCAACAAACCGAATAGGAAAAAATATTTTTACTAAAACAAAAATATACAGATTCTGAATTTATTCTTTTGTAATAATAAAGATTAACAACTCTTGTACAATCCTTATGTCCTTCATTCATGATGAAATTCACATCTCCGCCAGTGTTTAGAAAAGGAGGATTTGGTATAAACATCATGACTTTTTTGGGAACGAGAACAGATACATAATATATGTTTGTGTAATATCGTCCATTGGTTCGTTAACTACTGTGCACTGTAATGTCTTAGTGGGTAATATCTGGTTAACCTATTCACTAGGAAAGTATTGCGCCATGATATCATGACTGTAATTGCGTTGTCCGTAAATGTTACGAATTATATTTGTTTATATAATCCATATTCGTGGAATGAAACGTATATACCACATGCATCACAAACATTTTTTTTTATTAAAATGTTTACATGTCCAATATTGCAAAATATCGCCATGTGTTAATGTTTAAACGGTGATATGATGACACGTGATATTAGACAACTGACATCGATCACCGATCGCCGTCTTGATGCACGTGTTTATCAAACCTATCATGTTCTCGAACATCAACAGAATTACCCGATTGCATGTCTTAAACACTTTATCAGATCAGCTTGGCACGTGTATTTCAATGTTCAGCTGCTTGATGAAACATGTTTAAAATACCGCTTTTGTTTATCAACAAATATATTCTTACGTGAATGTTAATATATGCATCTCAGTGGATCTGGCACGTCATCTGAAATCGTAAAAGTCATGTAAATGAGTGTCTGCACCTAGTATTCCAAAACACGTCAAGTACAGGTGAAATTAATTGTTTCACCGGCGTATGTATCACGGCACACTGTTGGTTCACCTTTGTGAAGAATTGAGTAATTTGCTTGTTTACTATGAATTCATTAATCGTACAAACCGCCCTGAAGATAGGGACATTGGTTGCATGATCGAAGAAGTGACTAAACTTGGAATCTATAAATTCTCTCTTTCTTAATAAAAAATCTTTCATCTTCCTAATGTCTCTCTTGACTCTGTCTTACTGTACTTTTGGCCTTCATTATGGCGTTTGGTCGAGGGATGAATGCTTGGGATTCTCAACTCGAAAATACCCGGGAGTCCTAAAATTACCATAATTGATCAAATTGGAGGCTACCGACCAATGTTTTTGATATGTTTTTCGACCAATAAATATCCAGGGATATATTTAGGCGGCTCTCTCAGATGGCTACCTCGCTAAACAAACATACTACCGGCCCAAACTAAAAATGATTGATTTAAAAAATAACGTTAAAATACCAAAATGTTAACATAATCACAAATAACAACTTAGATTCAATAAAATTATGACAAAATATGAACAAAAAGAAAACATTTACGGGAGACACCCGAGAAAGAAGAAGGATTTTAAGACTAGGTGTTACGAAAGAGTAGGCGTTGTCTGCTTCATCGACCATAGAAGCGTTGTCAGTTTTGGTCAATCAAAGTAAGTATTGTCTCGTATTCAATTAAAGTACAAATCAATGGATAACAATAGGTTTTGAGTACTCTGTTACACCTTCTGGTAGCTGTATTGACGATGCCATTCGGAAACGTAGTATCGGAATGAAAATCGGAGCTCGTACATGCTATAAGTACCTAATCCGACAATGGTGTATTAGCTGCTCAGACTCTAGATGCTCGTCTCTGAACCCTGACTAGTAACCCAATAAACCCAAACCGTCATTAAAATGTGCTGAGCATATCAAAGAGAGCACATCAACGTTGTTGTTCACATTTAATTTTGAGCGTCTTTTGAAATGTCTCTCCGTACTACTGGCATTTGAGGAGATAAAAACATAGAATTATATTATATATACTCAACAAAAAAAGAAAGGTTAACATGTTTCCTTGGCAAATACCTGTAAATGAGTGAAAACAAAATGACGTTTGTGCAATATTAGAAAATGGTAATGTTTTACATTACAAAATCCGAGGGGGTTACCAAAATCATTCAAGCGTGAAAGTCTGTATTAGCGAAAGAGCTGCACGAGGTTTTCTGCGACTAACTTGTATCTTCGCTTGGATTTCATAAACATTCAAACTGACAACTGTTCCTTAGATCGTTAGGACTTAGAAATCACCGAATCTTGCTATCTATCAACTTTATCATTATGCCCCGGCTGTCACAAGTACAGAGAGAAAGGGATGTAGGCATGATCCAGGCTTGGGAGTCTCGCCGTCGAGTTGCACGGCATTCTGGTTGCAGTGTTAAGACAATTTGCCAGTTGGTAAGTCGTTTAAACCAAACTGGGTCAACATCCGATCGTCCCCGAAGCGGCCGACCCCGTAAAACGACCTCCAGGGATGACCGTCGTATACGATTGATACAATTGTAACCGCAGTAAAGACTACAAGGACATTGCTTGGGCGTCGTGTGTCTCCCCAAACAGTCCGCAACGGGTTGAGGGCCTACCAATTGAAAGCGCGGCGTCCCTACACTGGACCCAATTTGTTACGACGTCACCGTAATAATCGGCGTAACTGGACCCGTGTTCACCGTCGTTTGGCCTTACGACAATGGAACAATGTTCTGTTTTCAGATGATTCCAGGTTTTGTCTGCAACACGGTGACGGAAGGCGCAGAGTGTGGAGAAGACGAGGGGAGCGTTTTGCAAACTGGTGCGTCGCAGAACGGGACCTCTTTGGCGGCGGAAGTGTAATGGTTTGGGGTGGTATTTGTAGGGGGACTCGTACCAGGCTTGTTGTGTTAAATGGCAATTTAACCGGCATTCGATATCGGGGCGAAATTTTAAGACCAGTGGTTCTGCCATTCTTAATACGCCATGGCTTTGGTGCCATTTTTCAACGGGATAACGCACAAGCGCACACCAGTCGCGTCAGCAGAAATTTCTTGCAGCAAAATAACGTACAGGTGTTAGATTGGTCATCTAAATCACCTGATTTGTCACCGATTAAGCTTGTCTGGGATGTTCTTGGGCGACGCGTGAGAGAACGTCAAAATCAGCCGTCAAACTTGCAGGAGCTGGCCCAAGCTTTGATCGCTGAATGGAACAGCATCTCTCCTCGAATTATCCGCCGGTTTACGAGTTCCATGCGACGACGCTGCAATGCTGTTTACTTCGCAAACGATGGCCATACCCGTTACTAATGGTGTTACCTTTGAAATTGACCCCAACGTCCTTTACAGTCGAATAAAATCAACTGAACGCAAAGTTTTATAATGAACCATTGCTGCAGTTTTATGAGAAATTACTTTATTCGAACATGATTGATAAGGATTTGTGAAGGGGTTAATTAATTAATCACAGAATAAAGTAGTGTTACCTTTCTTTTTTTGTTTAGTATATTTTAAATATTTCATAAACCATTAATCATTTATCTCAATTCATTAACGAAACAAAACTTTGACGATGATAATATGATTCTTTATTAGAAATATTGTGTAAAGTAAGTGGAAATGCATTTTACATCGAGTGAATATTTCTCACCCATTCATTCCAAATTTCAGCAGCCATTCGCGAAGCAGTTTGAGGAAGGTTCAGTATTTGTAATTGGAAATGTGCTGTAAATTCCTTATTAATATCGCGAACAACTGCATTGTATTTGACATTACCGTAGCCAAGAGTCTGTCTGTTCAACACCACATCCTCGTAGTTAACCTGCGGGGAAAAGACAAAACATTATTAGCATATTACTTTAATTATCAAGCAACATAAATGCCAAATATATCTCGCAAACAAATCTTATATGTGACATTTCACTGCATGCAACTTAAAATGCCTTGATGGATCGTAGATGTAATTGGCACGCTGTATAGATATATGCTGATATTATTCAATATAACTCGTGCAATCGTGCTGCATAATAGCGGCATTATAATTAGTTCCAAATAAACAACTCCCGTGACGTAGATTTATTGAAAACATTACCTCCTACAGAAACACCTTCTATTTGAATTATTAAATTTTATGGAGATTATTTTCATTAATTACATAGATGCAAGTAATCCATGAATCCATACGTCCATGAACTTTTGAAGTCAGTATAAGTATATTTATTGATTTATATTTATCCACGAAATCAAATGTCCACAAAATAGTACCTTTGGATTGTCTTTATCAAAACAACGAAAATTGAACCCAACGAAAATGAGCTGAGATAGTAACCTGAAAACAATGAAACGTAAACCGCACCTTTTCGATCAGATTTCGCTGAACGCAAATTTTATCAAATATTTCGTTTGCAGCTTGGATGGGTTTGACAACAGTAGCAATTGAGTTCTCAAGATGAGCACCGCAAACTACAAGTAGAAAATATAGGTCATTATAATATGTACAAATAGCAAATACACAACTGCCGAATTTTAAAGGCAATGCTTAAGAAAGCATTCGAGTTGATTAAGACTGTAAATTTATCAAATGGAAGGTAAAAACATCTTATTGTCGATAAAACCTTATTTGAAGGGAGTAGGCTAACACATAAAAATCGATGTTATTTTAGTTCACGAAATTACACTTAAACCATGTAATGAAATAAGTTTGTTTTCTTTTCAAAATGTAATTATTTCCTAAAATTCACCGAAAAAAGGTTTTTCTTAATACATATTAACAATGATATTAGCAGGCAAAACACCCAAACACTCTACAGAATTGCCTTCTCTCTCTAATGAATGATCAATGGCATACTGTCAGTTATCGAGGAAGGTGACTGTCCTGTGCAAAAGCATTTAGTCGCATACGCCGCAAAACAATGAGCTGGAAAATTCAGGATTCTTGAACAAGTGACAGCTTGTCTTTTTCTTCTTCCAAAACTGGGGTTATTTGTAGCTGAAATAAGAATTCATACAATAAATAGAGTCGGCCTAACGCATCAAGTCTTAAGGAGATATTTGATGATAAAATATAATTGGTTATGAAAATAACTAGATAATCTTATTTCATTAAGGAAATCTACTTTGATCCATCATATTCCTGAAACGAATTAATTGAATGTACATAGTATGAAATAGTATTTGGAAAACAAAATTGGTCATCAAGTGCACTCTGGACATTTTATATCCACCATAATGACAAAGAAAATTTTTAATTGGCGTGTCCGATAACACAGCGTACCGCCAGGTTGTTGTTATGGGTATACAATTAGCTACTCTTGGATCTCTAACATAAACTACGTTGGTTGCAAATTACCTTTTCAACATTATTTTGTATTCAATCGGTCCAAAACTGTATGTCAAAGTTTGCAAATTTTCGCCTTGTACATATTAGTATAAAGACGTCATTTTGTTAATTTGACTTCTTCAAATCGTCGAATACTGAACTGTCGTCAATCCTTTGAGCTTTGGTTTACGTCATGCTCATGACGAAAACAGATGGTTTCGGAAACTTGATAATAGTTTTTAATCGCTGTTCGTGTTAATATAATAAACATCTTGTCAGAGTAGTACGCATCGATATTAAGGTGTCAATGGTCATCGGTTTGCATTGTTCTGTACTGGTTCATTACTACATGACTGAAGAACTGATGTCGGTCGTTAAACCCTTAAATGAATCTCGAAATAATTTAAATAACCCTATAGAGGTATGAGACAAGATGATAACCCACCCAGCATCCTTGCAAGATTAAATGCCAGCTCCGTCATAAAATTACCAGTCCTTGTACTCATTTGGACTCCTACAGACGCCATTCCTTCCTTCATCACCTTGCTCATGCTGTTCATGCTGTTTTGAAGTGCAGTATTATGATGAATACCACCATCAACGGCAGCTTTCATTGTTTCATAATAGGTTATAAGCGTTGCCAGGGATTTCCGAATGGGACCTGATTCAGCAGATCTTAGTTTACTGTCCATAAATGTCTGGATGTTCTTTAGAAATGTATAGATGTTTGTGTCTTGATCTTGTACCATCCTGCGCATTACCTTACGCATCTTATCATCAATGTCTGCCATCGTATCCAGCACGGGGTTCTCGCTATTCACGATAGCCCGACATATCCTGTAGTTTGCTCCCGTAACATCACATATTGTCACTGGTCGTCTTTCAAAACAGTTGCTAAAGCTGAAGACGGAAGAATAGTGAATGATTTTTAACATTCTATGAAGATGCACTTAAGATTTGAACCACTACCAACACTAATGACATCGACATAAAGCCGATATCAGTTGAGACTCAACTTAGTGATAGACTGAGTCATGTAGACTAGAAATCTTCAAACAGCTCTATGATAATGGTTTTAACTTCATTCTATGTCATTTACAGTAACCTGTATTTATAATTTTCTACATTACTGTAAATTGTAAGATGGAATAAGACAATACTCTCGGACTGAATATCAGTGTTATGTTATTGAAAGCGATTTGTAGCCAATGGGTTCTACAGTAATGCCTACTTTTCGTCACAAGTATCCTTGACGCAGGCCGTGCATGCGTCAAATGATCCGGAAAGTAGAGACTGGCATCCTTGCATTTGAGAAGAAGTATAACTCAGTTGAGAATTGGCGGATGAAAGAGCATTTGAAATCTTCTGTAAAAGGGCCGTTCTTACATCACGATTGAGGGCTAAAATGAAATGTAAAATAGGTGAATTTGTAGGTAGGTGTAAATCATAAAACCATATTTATTCTAGACGAACAACATTATAACGCAGTTTAGTTATTTGGCTCTACGGTGTCACATTCCAAATTTATATTCAAACTGGCTATTCGATTGTGTGTCTTATATACAGTATTTTAATATTGCTTTGTTAAAATCAGTTTGCCAACAGATCTCCAGTTATTTTGGTAGTGTCACAATAACAGTTGTTGTATCGCAATGGATTAGAAACGTCGTCAAACACCGTGCATATATCAATAGATGATTCAATGCCGAGATAAAACGAGACATGAATTTAATATTTCCATATATGATATGTACATAACAAGTGCCTGTCTACGCGTGACATTTGTAAGACAAAAACAGCCTTAGATACGCGTGTATTCAACTTCCCAGTCTGTATGTGATAGATCTTCATTTGTCAGACCTATAAATGTATATCTTTTTAGGAAATGTTATTATCTGTACTTTAATATATTTCAGAAATAAGCTATACAATATAACTATATAGTTATTTAATCTATATATCAGAACCGGAAGTGCGATCTTACAACAGTACTATCATTCAAAACACAAAACACTTTTAATTGATTTAACTGATGGACTATTTGTTGAACATATCTCATGTAATCATTGCTCAAGAGATCCAAGAAATGTTCGCTTGTTATGTGGTACCACATTATTACTTTCTTCGACCATATAATGTACCTAATTTATTTGATACCAGCCATCGACACTAATTTACAGTTCACTAATAAATACAGTGATTGAGATATATTAATTCACCTAAAGAAATTTGCAATCAATACTTTCTCTGAGTTTCACCTAATTTTTTATGCTTTCCATGCAGTAATGGACACAGATTTTTGTATTATTTCAGTGATGACAAAATATACGATACATATATATGAAATTGTTGATATATTCACCACAGCGATATTTCCAGATGAATATGTGGATATAGACGTTACCCTTATCATTGATTTCAGCTTTTGAATCATATCAACTTAACATTACATTACAACTGTCTAACACACAAGTTCGTTCAAATACATTATGTAATCAAAACTATATCTCTGATAAGCTTTTGTAAACAAATAATTGTGTATATAGTGTTGGTTCCTACAAAATCACATCTCAAAAATGATAGTTATACCTTTCATACCATTTCCTCCTAAATACAACACGCTATGACGAAGATGATATTATATATTATACTGAGATTTTGATATTCGCTTACCTTGTAAATTTGCGTCATCGAGGACTATTGTTGAACAAGGTAATACCAAAGAATTGACCACCACAGCAAACAATATGCTCTTCATGACTGAATATGCTGCCCTGTCGCGTTGTTATAAACGGAATGAGAAGTTATCCAGCGCAGAACACGCGACGGCGGTTGCAGAATATTCTATTATGGAAATTATCTGATGGATAATGTATGCATACGACTTCTCAAAAAGTAGCCAAGGTAAAATACAGCGGTGTACTGTATATGACCAAAATGATACTGTGGGGTTGAAACAGTCTTTAAAATAAGCAGATTGTAATAATAGAATAAAGTTAATGTTTATGCGTTCAGATTATTCACCGTTTTCGTCTGAGATTAATTGTTTCATTGGTGCTTTCTGCAACGTGCGAGTAATAGGCGTATCATTCTGAGCGCTCGGGTGCACAAATACTTCTCTTTGTTTTTCTCTGTTTTATTTTTTTCTCATATAACGAGTTCAAAAACACACTACTGTCTGAAATGTAGTAGTTTGTGGTTAACAAAGAAATTTAAGAACGGATATCTTTAAGAATATTCCGGAATAATTATTGCTTCAACTTGATAACTTATTTTTCCTAATCCTTTCCACAGACACTTCCCAGACTAGGTTCTACGTCAATTTCCTTACATTACCATACAGCTGATGAATTATGCATGTATTTCATCCACCTGGTTTAAGGTTAGTGTAACACATTCAAATACATTAAAATGTAAAGCCAATGATTTCATTAAGTCATTTGTGCTTGTATGTGTATCAACATTTTGTATTCATGAATCGTTTTGTTACATTTACGTGCGATATTAAATTGTATATTTTATACACAACGAAAGACAATTAGACATGGATCTGTGACCACTATGCATTACATGCAGTCTCGAAATCTTCTTTCATAGAGAACGTGAAACAACGCGTTACTATACACCATGATGCTACGATCCAAGTTTTGTCTTCAATTAGGATGGATAATCACAATTGTATTCTGTTTATCATTTACGTCGTCCACAATGTTGCCGAAGTCCAATATTGAAGGTAAGAACTCAACAAATAGCAATACAAATCAACTTAGTCTGCTGATACCCATCATTGTCAGAGAATAGGCTAAATTCTGGATGAAATTAGCCCACCGTGAAATTCTACATTTATGAGATCCTACACCGTTACACTATGCGAACAATGCCTGTACGATAGGGTAACTGGACGAAATTTTCTATCCCACATTTTTGCCCATGACATGAGGTTCAATCGCACATATGTGCGATTTTGTCGTGTTATTCATAAATTTAGAAGTAACTTGTAGATAAGTGTGGGATAGGGTTTATTTATTTTCAATATAGATAAAAGAGGCGCTAAGTTTATAAGTTAGGCACATGTAGACTTATCAAGTTAGAAATAAATACTTGTATAAACCTTATTTACGATTGTTTTGTTTGCAAAGTAACATGGTGACCAATCTAAGCATATATATACTAATTATATATAAAGTATACAAAGTATTTATTTCTGAAGGGAAAGTTTATTAACATCACTTCTGAATTCTCTATTACTCTCATTGTAAAGAAAATATCAATACCCATGTAAATTTTAAGTGTTGTGTTTGCTACAAAGGAGACCAAGCCGGTATGTGTCAAGTATATACCCGTATACAGATAATTGGTGATACCATGGCCAGACCTCTCGCCACTCTCTGTATTGTGATAATATACATTAGAGAGACTAATCAAAAGACATAGGACACGGTTTTTCATAATCAAATATGGATGTTATTTTTGATAAATGACAATTTACAAACTATCTTTTTGATCACCAATCAACGTTCAATACTCATAGGGTGGTTCATTAATAGGGACCTACACGACTTTTCTCTTTAATTGTCAATCTAAAATGTAAATCAACTATTCTACTCAAAGCGTAAAACAATGTAATCCTATCGACAATTTTTGTGCCAGATGCTGTATCATGTGTGTGTGTGTGCGGACGATGCATGAGCGATGTGCAACGTTTTTGGTGCCCTGTGCAATACTACAACTGTGCTTGAAAGGTTTTTTTCTGCAATAAAAACATATCCTTATTGATTTGCAATGCAGAACGATTACATTCACATTTTGATATAGTTTCTACGTCACTAGTTCATACTCTTCCTCTGTCCTATCCTTAATTTATCTCATATGATTTTTTAAATCAGCGGTAATAACTTGACGACAACATTCATAATTCATAAAACATAATTAAATTCAACTTCACCTGAAGTAATAGGTTGTTTAAAGAATGAATATGTGTGTACAGTAGTCACAAACTTAAAGCATGTTCATTACAAGCAGATAGAGTGGAATAATGACTGTATTACATGGCAGTTTCTAGCCCCATCATGTAATTCTTAATTGTCATATATCTGACAGTTTCAAAAGAGCGCCAAATGTTTAATATTCTGTTTCAGTTTTAAACAAATTAATAAGGGAAAAGCTTCTGATGAAGGTGATACCTGAGTTAAAGAAGTCCTTGCTCACAATCGAACAACTACGAACATCGTCCATGGCATGTAAACATCGGATAACGTCATCTTATAAAACATGTGCCGATTGTACCAAAAACAGGTGCTATGACAGGTAAGTTTTCAAAGTCTTAAATACATGAAAACATTTATTGGAAGTTGGTTTGAATAAGAGGATTGGGATACGAACCTATTCTGCCCGATATTTTGAAATCGCTCTGTCTTAGAAATACATATCTTTTTCCGAATCATTCCAACAAATTTTCATTACCTTCATTTGTCTGATAGCTTTCAGTGCATTGAGCCCCTAGCATCTACACTCGTCTATCTTTTATATAACATTCAACAGAATCTTGATTCAGACTCAAATTCGATGGAGCTAGATATGGACAAATAAAAGTGCAGGTATAAAGAGGACCAATATTTTCCGCAAAATTAAATCTCTTAAGGTTTGTCGGCGACTCTCTCTATCTAAATCTTGGTCAATACCATTAGCTATTGTCATGCTCCCAAATGACAACAAAGTAAACAGCGACAGAATCGTCATGTAGAGTAACAAGCATCATATCGTATTCAGAATTTGATACATTAAAACCATACATTAAAAAGAATCCTATTATAGAGCTGTTTCGTCTTTCTGAGACAAGTTAAGGGCTCAGTAATGTGACAACAGGGATAGTGATTATGACACCAAGCCATACTAACGGGCAATTAACTAAGAAACTTGTTTATATTTGAAATAATTCCATACCAACAGTTTGGTTCTGATCTCTTACAAATCAAATTATTAAAGATTCTGTGTTAAATGCTTTCTATGACTTTATTCCAACAGATACAGAGAGTGCAAAATCAGTTCGAGGAAAAGAGTCACTATGTGCGAGATCGTCGCATTAGATCAGGCAGAGATATGCTCCTTGACAGACAATGCTGAAAAGTTCATGCTTAATGTTGTTACAAATATCAAAGATAGATTAGGGGCAAATTTACGATATGCCATATACGACATGGGCTCCTTGATTGAGACTTTCGTTGTCCATTTGGCCAACTATGCAAACACTTGGTCATCGAACTCTGCATTTGCCCTTCAAAATGCTATAAAACAAATCCAAACACGTTATACAATTGAAAATAACCGGTTTATGGCTGATATTCATTACCGTTCACCAGAAGAGGTCATTTTGAGGGATATGTCATCCGCAATGAATGTTGGAATGGACAAATTAGGAGCTACTATACCAAACACGGGATCTTTCTCATACGACCTCTCAAGGACTCTTGCGGATTTATTAAGTAAGTCAACATTATCTTACTATGAGGGTTTTAGGACATAATACACTATTCATTTGTCTAATAATCTCCTAAAAGTTTTCAAATTGCCTCTTTCAAACGTTTGTGTTTTTCTTGTCGTTATTATTTTGTTAGATGTTTAAAATTAGCAATAAAAGAAAGATAGGTTATGTTACTTCTGAATCTAAATAATATTGTGAGGAAAGTTAATTTTCAAACCCTGTAAAGGAATTGTTGCTTTTCGGTAAATCAAGAACGGGTCGGGAGCAGTTTCTCATGCCTTTTGTTTAGGGTTCATTGCAGAAGCCAGAAAATGTTTGCGTGTCGTATAAACAGACAAATATACGTCTTCATTAGGTTCACAGAGTATTAGTTATGTTTCTGTATTTTACGTAAGAGAATTTACAAAAAGGATCAGACACGGAATCTGTTGTTCTATTCTATCTGCCTTCTGATGGAGTCCCATCATGATTGGGACATTATGATAATGCTACAAAAACAAGAAACACGATAGGTCCGATTTTTGTTAAAGAAAAGATTACAATTCAAATAAAATTCGACGATATAAAAACGTGAACAAAAAAGATTTACAATGATGCATTAAAAGAATCAAAGCGGAAATAGAATTTGCCTCTGCGATCAATCCACTCAGATAATGTCATAATGTCATATAGAACAAAGTCAATCACAACGAAACCAACATGTATACAAATGAACACCTAGCATCATATCCCCAATGAGATAATATTAACGGAACTTAAAAATTTCCTCATTTGTCCTTAACCAGTATTTCTCAAAACTGTAGTGCGACTTTGAATACAATAACACATTACACAAAATACGCACAATTGATAGAACAATGTTAAAGCAATGTTTTTTTCTAGGTGTACATTTTAATGTGGGGAGGAAGAAGAGAGCTGTAGCATGCAATACACTTGCAACACAACAGACAACTTGTCTGGTGTTCCGTGATCAGTGTGCCACCTGCAGATCAATGCCAAAGTCAAAGCCTGTGACTGACGGTAGATATTTGTACTGACTTACGTACAGCTCATGATTCTTATGTGAAAAAATGGTCAGTTTAATGTTTCTACAAGTTCCTGAAAAAAACATTGAAGGATATCTGGTCTCGGAATAGATAATGCTGTTCGATTGCATAGCGCTGAAATTGGTATTGATCATTGATGGTTTCCTTTGCTATACTTACATCAAATATAAGTAATTATTAAGCATTGTGTCATAGATAATACGAAATATATATAGAGAGAGACAAATGCAGCGGTGAAGAATTCAGTTAACGTATATATCCAGTTTGATGAATGAACCAGCAACTTTGTCAGTATTGATGCGATGTCATAACGAATGAAACGCGAAAGTCTTGGGGTCATCAGGAAGTACCTGGAAAATAATATTTTCATTGAAATAATCATAACAGTTAAACATACTTTCATTGCTTTTAGTTGCTTTTTCATAGTAATCAACGCTATAAAGTCGAATGCCATATATCTTTCAGTTTAAGTAACTGACTAATTATAATGCTCATTCCTTTTAGTTTGTGGAGCTCTTTATACATCAGAGGCCAAGCAATTGGTAGATTCTTTGACAAGGACCACCCAGATATATGAAGAGGTGTTGTCCAGAGTTAAATTTGTTCAGTCGGTAAGACCTTTGACCTTAAAGAACCATGCTGTATCCATTTTAAAGTTTTGCATATATTTTTATATACTAAATGAAAATCGCATATGCGAAAGGTTTTGATGATGGGTAAATTATACAAAAAAAAATAGTGACATTGTGTAAATGTTGTTACAAATATGAGTTTTCAATGATTACTCTGTATATTGTCTATGATATAAGAAATCCTGGCCACAGAATATAGATAGATATTACTGTATGAGAATGATTACTGCTACGCATCAGTAGAAAATAAAAAAATATACCCAATCATAGAATTAGCATGTAAAGTTATTACTATAATTGTTACGGGAACGATGAAAAGTTTACAAAAATATCGGCATTGAAATATATTTGTTGCTGTTTTAATCGATAAGAATTCGCTATTCCAGCAACAGTTACTACAAACTTGGTATTGTTTACATGTGCAAGGGGAAGTAACTAAAATAAAGGTTATGACTGATTTAACTACATATGATGAGATGACATTTGGCGTTATGATAAGTTCAATCGGCCGACATTAACGACGGAACAGTGGTATGGTATTCTGCCCAACATGAATAGGCTTGTAATGTAGTGGAGTCATTTACTTGGGATATCTATTAAGTGCCATATTTGTTTCAAACTAATGTGTTGTTAAAGAGCAGAATGGGTTTTACATTGACATGTTTCCTTTTAATATCAAGGTAGCATACACTCTCCCGATTTAAATGTGGTATTTTTGTAATGGAAACTAAATTAATAAATTGGTGATATTCATCGCCCAGGAGACAGTTTGAAACCAGGTGAACGTTGGTTACATAATATATTTGATAAAACCCATTGTCTTCGCGGAACCACTTACAAGCCATTAATAGTGCATTCGCTTGTTGTATATGATACAGTTTATGCGTTTATTCGGAGAGAACCAAGATTAGATTTAATTTCTTGATTATTTTTCTTCTGAACATATTGTATACAAACTTTCATACTAATATTGATTCAAATATTTTTTTCTGTGCAGGCCTCTTACACAAGAGTTGCATTTAACACGCCTGAAATCAAATTTCAAAACACAAAGTTTACTGTGGCGATCCAAAGTAAGCCGTCGATCCTCTTTGCGGATTTCCACGTCTTCGACATGGGAGTCACTGCAGGACAACTTGCTGATAAAATCTGGACTGATTGGACAAAAAATAATGCAGTTTGAAAGCAAAAAAGAATATAATGATACGCTTCCTGAACAACATACAACGACACGTACGAATCAAGCCCATTCTAACCAAAGGATATTTTTATGGTCTTCATATAACCAAAGGATGCCGATATGGATTGTAAAGTTCTGAATAAAGTGGAAATCTAAAATGAAAAAGTTTGTTTCTCCGTAATATTCCGCGCTTATTTGTATATTGTTCTAGTATACATTAAAATGTAGCAAATTGTAAACAAATATTTGATCAAATCGTTTTTAGGTATCAAAATAAAAAAAGGAGTAAGACGAACGCCTTAAAAATAACCGATTTCATTATCTGTATAATTCCCACAGTGACTCCAGGTGAATATATTTCTTAGATACATATGTTAACCCAGATATGAGCAAATGAAAAAAAAATTATACGGATATTCGTGAAAAGGAAAAGAATAAGACCAGGTGTTCCAGAATTGAAAGCTCTTCTTTATCGACAACATCTATTTGAACCATATACTATCACTTTCCCAAATTAATTTAACCGGTAAAAGTGGGGATGGATGTTAATTGTGTTTCAGTTTCGGTTCCCTACAGTATTATAGCTAGATCTTTGCTTTACATAAGCTAATTGTAACAACTTAGTCTGCTGTTAATGTAATGTTACCCGATAGAGAATTATGACATTGTTGGTAGTTGTTGTAATCGCTTTCTCCTATCGTCACGATCGACACCACCTTTCCGATATGAAAATGAACTAATTTCTTTATACTATCGTGATAGATAATGTAATTCAAACTGCACAACACTTCATCCATGCCAATGTCTTTTTTTCTCTGATCAAGAGTGGGTTTTTTTTTTAATACAAGCTTCATGTGTGTTACATAATTGCGAAACCAGTTTGTTCAAACATAAGCTAATCACGCTTTTTGGCCTGGGTTGAAGCGCAAGGGTCTTGTTATAGGGGAAACCAGTATATCTGGTGAAAAGCCACGTTGTGGGGCATGCAACATGTACTTGTTAACGTCCGTTCTTGAATTCGTAACCGGCAGTTCTTGGTCTAAGTCGAGTGCTTTACCACTGGGCCGCCCAAACACTTAGTGAACAATTTATTTTTCAAGAAATCAGTTCTTTATTAAATTAGGTAGCGGCGGCCTAAAAATTAACAATACAGAATCATCCTATTTCAAAAAAAAAAAACAAAACAAAACAAAACAAAAAAACAAACAAACAAACAAACAAAAATTATCTGTGGTACCATTTTCAAAAAAGACGTCCAAATAATTTGTAATGACTGATTACTTGCTTATTTATCATAATGTCAGAGAATAGTGTGGTTCTGATCATGGACACCGTCGTTGCGTTGAAGCCATTTTGTATCAATATGCTAAGTGGTAGACATGTATATCGGTCTAACAATGCGTAATGTTGACAGCACATGTATGATAGGAACACGGTTTGCATGTCCTCAAAGCAGTTTACTTTATCGGGGGTTAAATGACAACAGATAGGTTATAAATAAGAACAACTAAAACGGCGTTGTTGCCAGTTAGATTAAAAGGCCGGGATATCAATCAGCGGACAGTCTTTTATGTACAAAAATAGATCTTGTCTGTGTCAGTAGGCCTTATCTACATATCTTAAACACGATTGGTATAATGGGAAAGATTTTTCTGATAAGAATTCGTCTAGACGATTACACAGTTTTTGATCTTCGTAGATTCGGTAAGTTATTTCTGTGAAGATTGTTTTCAGATTTTTTAACTATGGTTATTCGAAAAGAGAATATACCACATTGTCAGTAACGTTTTTTCAAAAGTCGGAAAAGTTTCTATGAAATCGAAATGTTGGTATGGTATCAGTTAATTATTTGATATATTCGAGGACACTATTGTGTAGTTGGTATTTTCGCCGGAATATAAATTCACAATATTCGCGGTTATTAAGGATAATGCGAAATTTTATACCTAGCAAACATAAAGTGAATCAAAATTTCAGAAAACGTCTTGTATGTTTTATACATGATTACCATTCAAAGAGACACGCGAGAAAATTAATACTTGTGAACTTGCTCTAACTGGGACATTCGCAAAATATTTGAACATTCACAACTTTACGGTAAATATTGGTCTTGGGAAAATAAGTCGACGTCCCCAGTTTGTTTTCGTGTTTAAAGCTGTTTTGAATTGATTGTTTCAGTGATTACGTCTTGATATTGTAAACACGAATCTGCAAGGATGCGTGGTATGTTGTTTATGAACTGTGTGCTATTGGTGGCTGGGAGGACAATTGGTGAGTTCCATGCATAATGTATATACAAAAATAAATAAAAAATAAACATATTTTTCAAAACAATTTTTTAACAGAAACATGTCAGCTGTTAACATAATTTTCATTTTAACTCAAATTCATTGAAACTAGATATGATAAAAAAACCGATTAAGTTGAAAACTTCCGAAACAGAACAAGCAGAATAAGACTAAGTGTTCCGGAGGGGTAAGCGTTTTCCTCTTCATCGACGACACTTTCCATGCAAATTTTGGTCAGTCCAAGTAAGTTATGTCACGATCCAAAATTACATTTTTGAAAAAAATCCCAAACGTTTTCGTACTATGAATCTGACCTCGCCAAGCAGCTGACACCATTTTATACAATTTTTGACGACATCATCTGAGAGATTTCCTGATAGTTTGTCGCACAAAATGACTGTTAACACTACTTTACAGTAAGTGCCTAAATGTTTTATTCCTTACTACATGTCTATAAAGAGAGAACTGTCGTTATGTTTCTCAGTCATATCACAGTTTGTACATATAAATATATCATTCATTACTATATATTTGAGAAAAAGATATTATGAAGTTATTATCTTACTTATATAGCATACATATATATAAAATATTAGCAATACAATGACCTTAACACTGTATTGTGGGAGAGTTCCTTATGTTGGATTTAGACCAGTTGTGGCCTTTTCCTAGTAAGGTTTATATAAAGTGTGCCAGAGAAAATGTATATAGAGAAATACAATCATTTATATCAGGTTGTAGTATGACAAATTAAAACAAAACAAATTCAGTCATATCAATTTAATTAATAAGATTAAGACACAATATGAAATATGGAAAAATTTAAACGTGCAAAAAGTACGATGATATAAAGACAAGGTGTTCCTGAAGGGTAAACGTCTGCTGGTTCATCGCCAACACGCCTTATGACGTTTTTAAATAAAAACATTGTCAACAACGACGTAACAAATAGGCAAACTAACTAGCATCAAACACATTTAAACTTTAAATCGCACACAGAAGTAGAATATCCCATACAGTCATGCCATATTCTTATCTACGTAAACATATCGTCTTCGCATTATTGGAATAGACTTTCTCCTTCTGCGAAAAATTGAGGGTTACAATTTAAGATATTATTTCACAAATTTTATATTATAATCCTTTTTTCAGATCAACATATTTTGTCGCAAGAGAATGTTGATGAGCTAACGCATGATATATCGAGACGAACGACTATACACCACTGGGAACATTTCCTCGGTATTTATAATCTACAACTTCATAAGTGGCTTGTCACGAAAAACTCTTAAATGGTCAAGCAGAGACAAGTCAATGGCCATACCAACACAGACAAATACTGGTATCAAAGGCAGAGTGGGAGCAAAAATAATTCAAATACAAATCTGAGTATCCCTGGACACCGTACAGAGGGGAGATCATAGAATATCTACATGCTATATTGACAGTGACAAATATACATGATATGCTGGTTCATGCGCGCAGTAAACAAAATTGCTGAATAACGTAAAAATGACTTTTTAAAAAAGTTCGAAAAATAATAGTGTATATTGTAAAACGGAATATAAATACTCATACAAATAATATATGAATTCATTTTCTCTCGCTCTTACACCTTATTTCTTTATGAAAAATAAATGTCGGAGTCTGGCTAGAAATTTTGATTTACAACTAAGTGTTTGTCTCGTCCGACAAAGTGATATTGTCATGGTTACATCGCTATTTGTTGACATACAAATTTCCAGAAAATGTAATCAGCTACCGTGCTATGCTTTCAGCCATGGGACACTGCGGCCCACAGAGGTTTACCTGTCCTTCAGACAAAGTATGTCTAAATTCTTTGCACGAGTTATGTGATGGAAAATTTGACTGTTACAACGGTGAAGACGAGCGGCGTTGTACTGTGTCAGATAAAAGTTAGTTACTTATTAGCTACCACTTATTCCGCCGGTTTCATTCATTAACCCATATTTCTGTACTTTGAAGTTTTCTCAAAATCTCCAGTCTTAAGATCAATATGTATTGTAACGGTCGTCTACAAATTTGTCTTTCTTATCAAAATTAGAATTAGAATTAGAGAGCTGTGTGTATGATACGACACAATGTCTACAATGTAATGTTTCATTAAATAACAACCTCAACTATTAGTGTAATAACGCCCATCACATGAATATCTGTTAACAAACATATAAGGAATGCAAGAGCGGAGCTATGATTGACTTAATTTTCCCATTATGACGTCATGACGTCATACGTCATTGTGACGTTACAAAAGAAAGACAAATACATAGTGAACATAGTACATTAACATCAGAATCATAGAGATGTATGGTCATAGTAAACATAGTACAGGAACATCAGAATCATAGTGATGTATGGCCATAGTGAACATAGTACAGGAACATCAGAATCATAGAGATGTATGGCCATAGTGAACATAGTACAGGAACATCAGAATAAGAGAGATGTATGGCCATAGTGAACATAGTACAGGAACATTAGTGAACATACAGTGTAACATAGTACAGGAACATCAGAAGAAAACATAGAGATGTCATGAGATGTATGTTAGTGAACATAGTACAGGAACATCAGAATCATAGAGATGTACATAGTGAACATAGTACAGGAACATCAGAATCATAGATGTATCATAGTGAGTGAACATCAGAATCATAGAGATGTATAGTAAACATAGTACATTAACATCAGAAT